TGGATACATTTACGCTTAAATTATAACATATATTATTTATGCAAACAACTGGTATAAATATTGGCCAATATTTCTCGATAATTATGATTTATTATCATTTGAAGTAGAATTTTAGGTACCTTTTCGTACTTTTTTGTTCCTACCTGTGGCAATGTTTTCCAACACAATTCACAATTTACCACTGAGAGAGAGAGAGACTCTCAACACCGATCCCGATCCCGGCAAATATAAAACCACGCTAAAGGCGGCCCAAGTGACAGCAGCTGTAGTATACACACAGAGCGTCAAATTGTTTTATTGTTGGTATTTTAGTGTGTGTGCCTGTGGTCCGCTTTGTGTTCTCTCTCTCTCTAACAGCAATAACAACAACAACAAACAAATTAAGCGCATTTTGCTCTAATAAAAACAAATACACCAAAAACCCCGACAAGAACCACAACAACAACAATAACAATAAAAACTATTTTATTATTCTCCATTACAACAATAGCGCAATTGCTGCTGACTGACAGACAATTCAAAACCCAGCAAAACCAGACAAACACACGCATACACACAGTACATTTTCTCACAAACACCAAAAACACAAAGTGAGTACTGTTGTGCTGGGCTCTTCTTCTTCGCCGTCTACTAGATGTTTTTTTTTTGTTTTCATGACAATGATATGACTATTCTATGTTTTAGTTGTTGTTTTTTTATTTGGAACTTCTAATTTTCCTCATCCTGTCCAGTTTTACAATGTTTTTCTTTGTTACCTGTAGTTGTTGTTGTTTGGTTGGTCAGTCGGTTGGTCGCCTAAATTAGGTACAATGTGGCGTGTTAATAACATTTTTATTTTATTCTCTGTTACATACAACTCACGCATGAGTGTCGGCTGTGTATGTGTGTGTGCGCGCGTCTGGCTGTGATTAGTGTAAATTTTGCAGTTATTCTATTTTGTGGCATGAACAAAGTGAAAGAAGAAAAGTAAATTAAAAGAGCAGGGGGTGATTAGGTGCTTTCATAAGCGCGCAATAATCATAGACTCGGCTTATAATAATAAAAACAACAACAAATGTCTACATTTATAAATGTTTGCGCATTTTCTAGTCATGATTTTGTTTAAAGATAAACAAATAGAGTTGCCATAGTGTTTGCAAATGCATGTTAAGGCATGGGATAAAATACCAAAAAGAGCATTATTAACTTCATAGACAAACTGTTATCGATAACTAACGGCGGTGTTATTTACTTAAAAAAAATATTAGGTCTGTATAAATATAAGTTTTTAAATTTTAGAAGGGGAGACTCGATTAATAGGAAATAGGTTCTGAGCAATTATAAAAATCTGTTACATAACAATTATAAAAATCTATGATACGAAGAAAATAGTAAAATTATTGAACATACCAATTATTCAACATTCAACCAATGACAAAGTAGAAATATTTTATCGATATATTTTTTTATAGATTAAAAAAAAAAAACATTTACTATCGCCACCATATATCTATGGAAAATGTGTATTATTGTTATATTTTTTCCATAGAAAATTTATTATCGATACATTTTCTCTATAGAAAATATATTATCGATACATTTTCTCTTTAGAAATATTGTTATCGATAGGTTTTCTCTATAGAAATTTTGTTAACGATAAATTTTCTCTTTATGAAAGCTATTATCGGTAAGTTTTTTTCCTTTAGAAAAGTTGTTATCGATATGTTTTCTCTTTAGGAAAGCTATTATCGGTACGTTTTTTATTTAGAAAATTTCTTATTGATAGCTTTTCCCTATAAAAAAAGTTGTTATCGATAGGGTTTTTCTCTAGAAACATTGTTATCTATACGTTTTCTCTATAGAAACGTGGTTAGTATTTCTCTTTAGAAAAGTTATTATCGATAGTTTTGTTTTATATAAAATATGCTATCGAAAAGTTTTCTCTATGGAAATGTTATTATCGATACACTTTCTCTTTAGGAAAGTTTTAATCGAAAAGTTTATACTTTAGAAAAGTTGTTATCGATAACTTTTCTCTTTAGAAAATTTATTATCTATGAGTTTTCTCTTTATAAAAGTTGTTATCGATAAGTTTTCTTTTAAGAAAAGTTATCGTTAAGTTTTCTCTTTAATAATGTTATTATCGAAAAGTTCTCTCTTAAGAAAAATTATTATCGATATGTTTTCTCTATAGTAAAGATTAGTATTTCTCCATAGAAATGTTGTTATCGATAACATTTCTTTTTAGATAAACTATTATCGAAATTTTTTCTCTTAAGAAAAATTATTATTGTTAAGTTTTCTCCGTAGAAAATGTATTATCGATAGCATTTCTCCATAGAAATTTTGTTATCGATATGTTTCCACTATAGAAAAGTTTTTATATATAAATGTTCTCTTTAGAAAATTTATTATCGAGAAGTTTTTTTCTTTAGAAAAGTAATTATCGGTAAGTTTTCTCTTTAGAAGAGTTATTATCGAAAACTTTTCTCTATAGAAAAGTTGTTATCGATAATTTATCTTTACAGAAATGTTATTATCGACAGCATTTCTCTATGGAAAAGTTATTTTAGATAACCTTTATATTTAGAAAAGTTGTTATCGAAAACTTTTCTCGTTAGACAAGTTGTTATTTATACATTTTCTCTATAGGAAATTTGTTATCGATAACATATCTTCAGAAAAATAAATATTATCGATATCTTTTCTTTTCGGAAAAGTTATTAACGACAACTTTTTTATATATGTAGCGATTATTATCGACCAATTTTTAATTGGAACGGTGTTTTTCCGTTTTTTTCTCAGAAAGTTATTATCGATTTCTTTACTTTATGAAAATATAGTTATCGATTTTTTTTCTGACAATTGACATTGTTTATGTCACTTTTTACGAATATAAAAACAATTATCTGTTATTTTTTATCGATCCTTTTATTTTCCCAAAAAGTTATTATCGATCACTTTATCTTGAGATAATATCGATATTTTTTATTTTTCCGACATTTGACAGTGTTTATGTGTATTTTTTTTTTTTACTAAAAAAATGTTTTTTTTATCGATTTTTAGCCACATATATTTATAGAAATGCCTATTCGGTTTTTATATTAAACCACGGTCCATCCTTAGGCCTATAATAGTTTGCAAATCTATTTTCATTAACGAAAATTACAACGTGTTGTGGCTGGCTGACTGGTAGCCATTTTAAAAATTCTGTTATTTCTCTCTTTTTGGTATATTCAAAATATCCCAGGAAATTCTCGGTTTCATGTCATTCTGCCATTCATTTAACCAACAAAGCCACCCCCTGCTGGATTTTTTGGAATACAATAGAGAGCACAGAAACACTTCATTGGAAATGTTGGTGGAAAGCAAAGAAAGAATGAAAAAAAAAACACATGGCTAGCGGCGGTGTTGGCTGCATGAATTAATGGCTCTTCTGCTGCTGTCGTGGCAGATGATAAGGGCGACGACATTTCATTTTCACCCTTATTTCTACAACCACCCTCCCTTGTTTTCTAGCATTTAATAAGGGAAGTTTTTGTTTTGTGGGTGATGTTGAAACACCAACAGAGACACACACACACAAATGCACAAAAATTTCACCATGGTCATGGAATAGATTTCCAGGGTAGCTAAGAGCATAGCAAAAGCCAGAGAGAGAGAGCCTAGATAACACACTCACGGCTTCCCACAAAGGGAAGGTTCTGTCCCATCTTAAGAGAATGTAACAATGAGCATTACATGGTTTCTCTTTGGCTCTCTCTTTTTTTGTGTAAATATTGCAAATAAGGGTTGAACGAACATCCCATCCCCTTTTCAGCTTTGTGGAATTTCCAAGCAAAAACCGTTTTGACCACCCTTCTTCTTCTTGGGTTTTGCAAATTCCATATTTACTCTTGTTCCATCCATCCAGTATCCCGGCGGCAGTACACTCGCAGAGTTGACACAATAAAGCTTGCTCGTCTTTCATTTTTCATCTAGTTTATATATATAAAATATTTTGCCGGGAATTATAAAAAAAAATACATTTTTTTTGCAAGTTTTTAAATAGTGTATACATACTCGTCGTTTGAGGTGGATAGAAGATTTCCTTCGCATAGCTCAAAAAAGCCAGCAAAAATTGTGAATAAAATTTTAAGTGAAATTAAAAGAGTTATTTGAATTTATTTTTGGTAAATATTAGTGTTGTTAAAAATTTGCTTTTATTTATTTGTTTTTTTTTTTTAAAACTATTTTTGAGGTTAGAAAAAAATATTTTTTTTTGAGGTTATTTTTTAAAGAATTTTTTTGTTTTATTTTTAATTATTTCTTTAAAATATAAATAAGGAAATAAATCATTTCTATAAATTTATGTATAATTTATTTCCATAAAAATTGCTGCTGCTTCTTCCTCTTCTTCTTCCTCCTCTTCATAAATTGCAATTTATTGCTTAAAACTAAATCCTTACTTCCACAAAATTGCTTCTTCTTACACTTCCTGCTTTGTTCGGGAGGTTTTTTTCAGCCGAAAAAAGATACTAAACAGTAACGACCTGCTTTTTCCAGGGGTGAATGTCTTTTCGATATCCTCTCTTCAACCTAACCTTTAAATCTGAGCAAAAAATGTTTCCCCCCCAACACAATTCTCAATCTTGTAACAAGGATATATTTTGGTTGGAGAACATTTTCATTTTTGTTGTTGTTTTCAATTTTTTCTTAAGCCTAACCTTAAAATCTGAGCAAAATTTTTTTTCGAATACAATTCTCAATCATTTAACAAGGATATATTTTTGTTGGGTGAACGTTTTGGGAAATGTTTTAATTTTTGTTGTTGTTTTTTTATTGATTTGTTGTTCTTTTCAATTTTCTCATAAACATAACCTCAAAAACATTTTTTTGAAAACAATTCTCAATCATTTAACAAGGGGGAAATTTTGTGACTTAATTTTTGTTGTTGTTTTTTATTATCCTTTTTTTCCTTATTAATTTTTTGTCTTTCTTTTTTTCTTCTTCTTCCTTTTTTGATTGCCCATTTTCCCCAGTGGACTTCATGATGGCCAATCCCGGAGCAGCCGTTGATAATCAATCTGCCATTTTGCCTGGTGCCAACCCGGCCGCAGCGGCAGCTGCGCAGCTGGCCGTTTCCCCAGCCGCCGCAGCTGCTGCCCAACTGCAACAGCAGCAGGTTCAGCAGGCCATATTGCAGGTACAACAACAACAAACACAGCAGGCTGTGGCTGCAGCCGCCGCCGCTGTTGCCCAACAATTGCAAAATCAAACCAACGGTGGTGGTACCAATGGCAATACAAATGGCTCCAGTGAGACTCGCACCAATCTGATCGTGAACTATTTGCCGCAGACAATGAGCGAAGATGAAATCCGTTCCCTATTCTCGAGTGTGGGTGAAATTGAGTCGGTGAAATTGATACGTGACAAGAGCCAACCCTTTTTGGATCCCCTCAACCCAACCGCCACAAAGGGCCAAAGTTTGGGTTATGGCTTTGTTAACTATGTACGGCCCCAAGATGCCGAACAGGCAGTGAATGTTTTAAATGGCCTAAGGCTGCAAAATAAAACCATAAAGGTCTCGTTTGCCCGTCCCTCATCGGAGGCAATTAAGGGTGCGAATTTATATGTTTCCGGCCTGCCCAAGACCATGACACAACAAGATTTGGAGGCCATATTTGCACCATTCGGCCAGATTATTACATCGAGGATTTTGCAAAATGCCGGTAATGATTCCCAGACCAAGGGTGTGGGTTTTATACGTTTCGATAAGCGTGAAGAGGCCACAAGGGCCATTATTGCTTTGAATGGCACCACACCAACCGGTTGTACCGATCCCATTGTCGTGAAATTCTCCAATACCCCAGGAAGTACGAATAAGATTATACAGCCTCAGATACCGACATTTTTGAATCCTCAACTGGTGAGACGTATTGGTGGTGCCATGCACACCCCCGTGAACAAAGGCCTGGCCCGTTTCTCCCCCATGGCCGGTGATATGTTGGATGTTATGCTACCAAATGGTTTGGGAGCAGCGGCAGCCACTTCGCTGGCCACCGGCCCCGGTGGTGCCTATCCCATTTTCATTTACAATTTGGCGCCGGAAACTGAGGAATCATCGCTGTGGCAGCTGTTTGGTCCCTTCGGGGCCGTGCAATCGGTGAAAATTGTTAAAGACTCCTCGACCAATCAATGCAAAGGTTATGGTTTTGTGTCCATGACCAACTACGATGAGGCTGCCATGGCAATAAGAGCGCTCAACGGTTATACCTTGGGTAATCGAGTGTTGCAAGTTAGTTTCAAGACTAACAAAAAGTAAATCATGAGGAGATGAGAAGAGATGATGAAACAAGAGATGAGAAGAAAGTAAGAGCATAACTTTTAGTTTAGTTTATAGAGAAAAAAGTAAGAAGAAGAAGAATCAACTTTTCTTAAGCATATAAAAAAAAATAGATGATATCTCTCAACAGCTCCCCCCTAAACAACCAACCATTAAACATCATTTAAATAATAGTTATTTTTTAAGTAAGCATGAAGAGAGAGAGGAGAGAGAGTTATTATAACACAGAGAGTGCAGGCAATCTCAAAAAAAATTATGAAATGAAATGAAAAAAAGGATAATGGGTTGGTGCTCTCCCCACCTTATCAGAAAAAATTTAATTCCAACTCTCTTCTCCCAACTGAAAACTAAAAGAAGTAATGCATGTCCTTTTTTTAAAGAAATTATAAATTGTTAAAAAAAGGATTTTGTTCTTATAAAGAACAATTTCCTTACAGAAGAAACAAAAAAAGAAATTTACAAAGGGGTCCCCCCTTGACAATTTAAAAAAGGTTTTTCATGTCCTTGGCTTAAAGAGATCAACAAAAGAAATGACAAAAATGATGCAATGAAAGAAAAGAAAACATTTTTTTATTAAAAATAAAAAAAAAACAATTTTAACATATAGGCTAAAAACACTCACACACACACAAAAGTAAAACAAACTAAAAAAAAGAAATCTTCCAAGAAAAACGCATAAATTTAATTAAACTAAAGAAAAAAATAAAACAAACAACAAATTTCGAAACACTCGCCAGTGAAAGAAAATACAATATAATATAGGATTTTTTTCTATATATTAAAAAATAATAATATAATAATTAATCACACACACTCTCACAGCTATAAAGAGGCTTTTTACAGTATTAACAAATAATGGAAAATATTATTTTTTAGCAACAATTGTTCAGAACAAACAAAAAAGAATTGAGTGAAGAATAAGCTAGGCCATAGCTACAAAACAAAAAAACATTTACTGGTGAATGTTAGAAGAAAAAAAAAACCTATTTAAAAAACAAACTCCTTTTTATTATATAAAAAAAATTATATAAGAAGAAAACTAGTTAAAAATTAAACTCAAAGTAAGAAAACAATAATTTTTTTTTAAATTAATATCATGCCCCCTAAGAAGAAAAAACGGCAAATTATAATTTATAGTGAAATTGGAGGAGCCATGAAAACAAAAAAAAAAATCCCAAAACTAGGAGAGGGTGAACATGTTAAGGTTATTATAGGAAAGGTTATATAAGGAAACATTCCAAATTTTTAAAGAAAAAAAAAAACCAACAACACCCTCCCCTCCATTATTTGGGATTTTTTTTTTTCTTAGAAAAAAAAAGACAAAGAATCGTTCATTTACAAAATGAAGAAACATTGAAAAGCACAAAGTTTATTTTTTTTTATAAACAAATAAATCTCATAAATAAATTTTTTTCGTTCAAAATAGTTTTTCAAATTATTATTTTTTCTAATTTTTTCATAAATACTACTTATAGAAATGCTTTGAGTTTTAATTTGACATTAAAAACATCTCTCCCATTTCACTGGTTTCTTTTTTCTTTTACAAATTACTTACTACTGCTGCTTATCCTACTTCCTTCGTTTCGGGTTGCGTTTTCGTTTTTTTAGTTTGTTTTATTTTTTTCATCATCAACTTATTGTTATTGTTGTTTTTTTACAAACACACATATTACATATGTAATTAAAAATACATATATTTATTATATTATATATAATTTCTTTTGTTGATTCCTTTAAGTTTTTCGCCCCCACCACCCAGCAGAGAGAATAATAATTTTTTTTATTAACATCTTCTTTTAAATTATATAGTAAAAAAACAATATTTAGTTGATATTATTATATATTTAATTATGTAATTTGATTTGTAATTATTTTCTGCAAAGGCAAGCATTATTTGGTTTGATTTTCAGTAAACAAAACTAAATTTTTTTTTTATAACAAAAGGGGAAACGAAAAAAACCGGGGCGGAGAAAATTTTCTTCCGAAAAAAAATTCACGAGGAATTTTTCCCCTTCAATTTTAATAACAAAAAAAAAAAAAAGAAAAAAAAAATCGGGGAAAAAATTCACGGGGAATTTTTCCCATTCCCAAAAGTGGAAAAAATTGGGGAGAAATTTTTCTCCCGAAAAAATTCAATGGCCAATTTTAAGAAAAAGAAATTTGGGAAAAAAAATTTCGGGTAAAAAAATTCACGAGGAAATTTTTACCTTTCCCAAAAGTGGGGAAAAAATTTCTCCCGAAAAATCAAATTTTTAACAAAGTAAATTTAAGAAAAAAATTGTGGGGAAATTTTTTTTTCTGTGGAGAAAAAAATTCACGAGGAATTTGTCCCTTTCCCAAAAGTGGAAAAAATTAAGAAAAAATTTTCTCCCGAAAAAATTCAATTGTAATTTAAAAAAATGAGCAAAAAAAAATTCGGGGAAAAAATTCACGAGGAAATTTTTCTCTTTCCCAATGGTGAAAGAAAAAAATTGGGGAACATTTTTCTCCCGAAAAATCCAAAATTTTAACAAAGAAAAGTTGGGGAAAAAATTCACTAGAATTTTTTTTTTCAAAAATGGGAAAAAATTTGGAAAATGTTTCTCCCGAAAAATTCAATATTTTAACTAAGAAAATTTAAGAAAAAAATTGGAAATTTTTTTTTTTTTTTGTGGAGAAAATATTCTCGCGGATTTTTTCCCTTTCCCTAAAAAATTTCATAAAAGAAAAAACAATGAAAATAAAATTTTAACAAAGAAAATTTGAGAAAAAAAATTGGGAAATTTTTTTTTGTGGAGAAAAAAATTCACGAGGAATTTCTCCGCCAAAAGGGGGAAACAAATTGGGGAAATTTTTTTCTTGAAAAAATCCAATTGTAATTTTAGCAAAGAAAATTTGAGAAAAAAAATAGGGGAAAAAAAATTTTTTTCCCTAAAAGGGAATAATGAAAAAAATTGGGAAAAATGTTCTCTCGAAAGAATCCAATTGTAATTTTAACGAAGAAAATTTGAGAAAAAATTTTTTATGGGGAAAAATTCCCTATTTAATTTTAACGAAAAAAAATGAAATTGAGGAAAAAAAATTTTATGGGGAAAAATTTTTTTCCCTTTGAGAAATTTTTTTTGTGGAATTTTTCCCACCAAATCCGAAAAAATCCAATTGTAATTTTAACAAAGAAAATTTGAGAAAAATTTTATGGGGAAAAATTTCTTACGGAATTTCTCGAAAAATAAATGAAATTCATAAAGAAGAAAAAAAAATTCGGGGAAAAATTTCTCGCGCAATTTTTCCTATTTCCAAAAATGTTTCCCTTTGGGAAAAATTTCTAGTGGAACTTTTCCCTTTCTCCAATTTTTTCAAAAATCACAACAAAATTGAAATAATTGTTGAAAAAAAAAAAATGTTTCCCTTTAGATCCAGTGAAAATTTTCCCTTTCCCCAAGAATTATTTTTGCTTAAAAATCTAGGATTTTTTTCTTTTCCCTTTTGTTATAAATCTTTTTTTCCATTAAAAATAAAATCATTACATGCCACATAACTACCACCAAACCACCCTTTGACCCCCTTCTCTCTCATCTAAATAATTATTTAATATTTACATATACATATTTATTACAAAGCAAACAAAAAAAAAACTATATTTAAATATTTATAATTGATTATTATGTGTATGCAATTTAGTAATTTTTTTAGTATATATATTTAAAAAAAACACACACACACAATTATAATTTCTTTATAAACAAAACAAACATTAAAAAAACTTTAGTTTTTAAGAAAAAAAATTATTTATATATACAGACATACCACACAAGAAAATGAAAAAAATGAGGAAAAACAACTCCCCTCCCTTTTAATGAAAAAGAGAAAAGAAAGAGAACAAATCTAACAAAAAGTAACAAACAAAAATCTAGTCAGTGAATAAAAATAAATATATATATTTATATATTTTTTAAATTAAGTTAAAACAAAAACAAAGCAGCTTAATATAACAACAACATCTAGCTAAAAGTTTTTTCAATTTTTTTTTAAATAATTTTCAGTTCAAATTTTTTTGTACACTAATTTATAATCAATTTTAATTTTTTTTTTTCAAAATAATTATTTTTTCAAACTTTTTGTTAATGTGAAATGAAAATGAAGAGAAAAATATACATAAAAAAACCTATATAATCCAAAGATTTAAATATTTAGTAAAATTCTATATTTTTTAAAAAAAAGAGAAACATTATTGCATATAGAAATGGAAATTTTCTAAAATTTTAGGGGTCGGCTCGTTTCGGTCAGGGGGAAATGGATTTCAAATTAAAAAAAGAAAAGAAAAAACATTAAATCAAAAAAGTTTACAAATTAAAAATAAAATGGGGACATTTTTTCATGTTGGGAAAATATTTCAAAAAATTTGAAAAAAAACATAGGAAAAAATTTTAAACAGTTGGAGAAAATTTTCCCGAATATTTCAAAAAATTAAAAAAAAATCATAGGGAAAAATTTTGGGGAAAAAATTTCCCTTCACTATTTTTCCAAATTATGTTATAAAAAATATTTCAAAAAATTTAGAAAAAAAAACATAAGAAAAAATTAAAAAAAAAATTGGGGAAATTTTCCCGGTTAATGATTTGGAGGGAAAATTTTCCCTTCACATTTTTTTTTTTTTTGCAAAAATCTGTGTTTTTTTCCAATTTATGTTAGAAAAATATATTTAAAAAAAATTGACCGGGAACATTTTTCCCGGTTAATAATTTGGCGGAAAATTTCCTCTTCACATTTGTTTCCAAAAAACAACTGTGTTTTTTCCAAATTATGTTAGGAAAATATAAAAAAAATTGAAAAAATAATATATGAAATGGGGAAAAATTTCCCGAAAAATAATTTGGGGGGAAAATTTCCCCTTCACAATTTTTTCCAACAAAACTGTGTTTTTTTCCATATTATTTTAGGAAAATATTTCAAAAAATGAGAACAATATGAAAAATGGGAATATTTTCCCGCAAAATAATT